TAGTAATTGGTGTTCCTAAACTCAAATTCGAAAAGGGAATTTGTGATTCATGTCAAAAGGGTAAACAAGTAAAAACCTCTTTCAAATCAAAGAAAGTTGTTTCTACTTCTAGACCATTGCAGCTTTTGCACATTGATCTCTTTGGACCTTCTCGAACTATGAGTTTAGGTGGTAATTACTATGCCTTGGTTATTGTTGATGACTACTCTCGTTATACATGGACCTTATTTCTTTCTCACAAGAGTAATGCACCTTCATCTTTTCGCAAATTCACTAAAAAGGTTCAAAATGAAAAAGGTTGTAGCATTGTGGCCGTAAGAAGTGATCATGGAGGAGAGTTTGATCAAAGTGGGTTTGATACCTACTGCGATGAAGTAGGCATTGCACATAACTTCTCAGCCCCAAGAACGCCTCAACAGAATGGCGTTGTTGAGCGGAAAAACCGATCTCTCAAAGAGATGGCGAGAACTATGCTTAGTGAGGCTAACATACCTAAGTACTTTTGGGCGGATGCAGTGAGTACTAGTACTTATATTCTCAATCGTGCGATTATAAGACCTATACTCAATGCTACTCCGTACGAATTGTATAAGGGTAGAAAGCCTAATCTCTCACATCTTCACATCTTTGGTTGCAAATGTTATGTTTTGAATAATGGAAAAGATAATTTAGGACCTTTTGATGCCAAGTCAGATGAAGCAATTTTTATAGGTTATTCTTTGACAAGTAAGGCTTACAGAGTTTTCAACAAACGTACCTTAGTTGTTGAAGAATCTGTACATGTTGTGTTTGATGAAAATAATGCTCGCTTGTCAAGAAGGGTATCTTGTGATGACCTTGCAGGTTCACTTGAGAAAATGAATCTTGAAGAAGGTGAATCTAGTAAGACAAAATCTGAAAAACAAAGAGATGTTGAAGAAAAAGTTGAGGACAAAAAGGAAGAGCATATTGCAAATGAGTTACCACCCGAATGGAGAACTTCAAGATATCATCCTTTAGACGACGTGATTGGTGAAATCTCCAAAGGGGTAACTACTCGTAGCTCATTACGCAATTTAGTTAATCATATGGCTTTTGTATCTCAAATAGAACCTTCTACCATTGATGATGCCATTAATGATGAATACTGGACTATGGCTATGCATGAGGAGTTGAATCAATTCAAACGTAACGACGTTTGGGAACTTGTGCCTAGGCCACGTAATCATTGAATTATTGGCACCAAATGGGTATTTAGAAACAAACTCGACGAAAATGGTATTATCACTAGAAACAAAGCTAGGCTTGTAGCTAAAGGCTACAATCAACAAGAAGGTATAGACTTTGATGAGACTTATGCCCCTGTATATGCCCCAATGAGGATATGAAACCTGAGACACCATTTTGGAGGATCAAACGGGAAACTGTGATGCGGGCTATGCATGATACAAATGACGAGAATCGTGCGAGTTCTGGACCATCCGAATGCCGATTTGCCTCGTCTAATGGAAAAGTGACCCTGCCCATGCTCTTCGAGTCCTTACAAGATATTCGCCGTCAACAAGCAATTCATGGGTATAATTTAAACAAGTTGTTAGTAAAACATGGTGAGCAATGGGAGTCTCCATCTCTGGATATGCTACAACCATATATGGGTCATGGTTCTTCCTCCTCTACTTCGCATGGTGCTGGAAATGATGATGATGATGATGATGATGACGATGATGATGATGCCGATGACGATGGTGATGATGATGCTGGTGATGAGACTTCTCTTGTTGATGCTGCCATGGATGCGGAATGAGTGGATGGGGCACTCATATTTTGTTCTAAACTATTTATCTAACTCTTTACTCTTTTGTTTTTGTTTAATTCGACTTTACTATCCCCATTACTACTTGTGTTTTGATAACCCAGTGTTTCTTTTGTCCTTCACCCGTTTTGCTTATGACAAAAGGGGGAAGAGTATGTGCTTGTGCTTGTTGCAGTGCAATCATTAAGGGGGAAGTAAGAGAAGTACTCTAAGCTCTTTTCTTTTAACTTAAACTCTTCACTTGTATTGTCTTGTGTGCTCTTGTTATATTTGTTGAAAACAGAATATTGTTTGGAATCAAGCCTAAGTATTTGATAAATTGGGTTTGTCATTATCAAAAAGGGGGAAATTGTTGACCCTTGTGTTTTGATAATGACAACTATCTCATGGGCTTGGCACTTTGGATGTTGATCTTCACAATCATGCGTAGGATCTCAAGACAAGTGTGAAGATATAGAGTATTTGTTTCTCGTTTAGGTCTTAGCATTTGTTGTTAAAGTGTATGGCACGTTAGTTGTTTTTTCTCTTTAAAAGTGTTTTCCAAAAACCCTTCTAATTGTTTTTGAGTCAGTTGCAAAATCATTTTTTCAACTGTGAAAACTATTCGAATAATTCTTGTTTTATTCGAATAAGTTAGAGTTCTCAGTTCTGTCTTATTCGAATAGTTAGCCAATTATTCGAATAAGTCCTGAATCTCATTTCTTCAATCCTACAGTGACTTAGTCGAATAAATCTTAATTTAGTCGAATAAGTCTGCGTTTTTCGCTCTGACCTATTCGGATAAATATGATTTTATTCGAATAAGTCGTTAGTTTGAACTGCAGGTTTGTCAGTTTTAAAGGAAGTTATCCATCCCTATCTTCCATAACTCACTTACAACGGCTCTTTTGCTTGAAGAACATTATATATATCCATTCAAACATATTCTTTAACTAATCCAAGCAATTCAATTCATACTTTTGATCCTTCAACAATACTTCCAAGCAATTCTTCAAGAAATCAATATTTGCTTGAGTTTTGGAGAGTACTAGTGTGCCATACTCTTAATTTGAAGAGTATTCCCGCTGTGCACTTTGTTTTGAAACGGTGTGTGAATTGTAAAAACTTGAAGTTGATATAATTCAAGTTTTGGAGAGAAATCCTGAGTCTTGTGAAATCAAGACTTCGGTGGAAAGGTTAGAGGCTTGCGAATTCAAGTTCTCGAGTTGTAATCGGATTGTCAAACTCCGTTAAGTTTGACGAAGTTAGTGGAATCTCGGGCACGTTTGCTTCGGGGACTGGATGTAGGCATTAGGCTGAACCAGGATACATCGTGTGTTGCTCCTTCTCTTCATCTTTGTCTTGTGGTTGATTNCTTTGTTTTGAAACGGTGTGTGAATTGTAAAAACTTGAAGTTGATATAATTCAAGTTTTGGAGAGAAATCCTGAGTCTTGTGAAATCAAGACTTCGGTGGAAAGGTTAGAGGCTTGCGAATTCAAGTTCTCGAGTTGTAATCGGATTGTCAAACTCCGTTAAGTTTGACGAAGTTAGTGGAATCTCGGGCACGTTTGCTTCGGGGACTGGATGTAGGCATTAGGCTGAACCAGGATACATCGTGTGTTGCTCCTTCTCTTCATCTTTGTCTTGTGGTTGATTTACTCCTGCGAAATTTTGTTTATTCTTCCAAAAGTTTTGATTTTTGAAGAACACCTCTATTCACCCCCCTCTAGAGGTGCATAAGTTGTTCAACAATAGTATTAACGTAAAGGGCATTTAGAAACTCACTTCCATTATCAGAACCAACAACTGTGGCCATTTGTAATTCTTTACTTACGGCTTCCTATGTAATCAGGAAACGGCAAAAATGGACAAATACAATTAGATAATAAAAATATTTCATAAATTGGCTACTGCGTTAGGTTCCTAATGAATTAGTGAGTTCTCAAAACCATGAAAAAATTTAATCAATTTCTAGTGTTTGATTGAAAATTTAAAAATAAGAAAAAAAACCTACTCGTACACTTTGTTTGTTTGGAGGTAGGCGGAAGTAGAGAGAGATAGATTTAATATTCTACCTTGTTTGGTAACAAAAATTGAGATAGGTCAAGAGAGAAGGTACAGGGAGGTAAAGTTATCTCTCAATAGTAGATTTTAGGTGACCGCTAATTTGGCAAAATATGAAGGTAAACCCATCGCCATCTTCACCCTTTCCGTCGTTCGCAGAGCAGGGAAAACGGATCGTCATCTTCACCCGATCGCCATCCAAGACAGGTGTTTCGGGCATGCTTACTTTTTTTTCCAGCCGATCTAATTTAGCCGCATCGTCATCTTCCCCTATACCCTGCATTTTCGGCCCATCTTCAATTTTCACTTTTTTTCATTGCCCATTTGATCATTACTTAAGTTTAACTTTTATTCTACTCCTTCCGTCCCTAAATAAACTTCCTCTTTCGTTTTTTCTTAGTCCCCAAATAAACTTCTCTTTTCCCTTAAAAAACCTCTTTTACTCCTTACTTTTTCATACCCTACCTATTACATCATACCTTTTTAATTACTAATAATCTACCCATCACATCTTACTTTTACGCATCACATCAAGGGTATTTTTGGAAAGTCAACACAAAAATATCCTTTCCTTAAATCCTCAAAAAGTCAAAAATAGAAATCTATTTAGGGACGGAGGAAGTATTTCTTTTTTGTGGTTTTTTTCTGTTCTTTTTTTTTCCTGCTTTTTCTGGTTATTTTTTCTGTTACTTGACTTTCTTCTACAATTGTGTAATTTTGAGTACTCTATTTTTGTATGACAACAAAATTTGTATTAGTTGCATTCATATAAAATGATGTTACTTAGAACTTAGAAGTTTCGTCTTAGAGTGTTTATTTAATTTTAACATTTTATATTTTAAATTTAAATAAATTCTAATAAATTAAATAAAAAAATGTTTAAAATTGATGTAAAAATAATTTTGTATATATATTTTACGTACGAATATATAAATATTTATTCATTTTTAATCTCCTCCCAAATCACCTCCTTTCAATTCATTTCCTCTCCAATTTTCTTCACCAGACTCTAACTATTCTTCAACTTTTTCACAATATTCTTTTTTTCATGTTATCTACATCTACCTATTGGCCGGTATAGAAAAAACATAAAATGCAATAGACCAATAACGAAACAAAAGCATTTCCAACTTATCATTCTGTTAAGTTTTTCCATCAACTACGTACGTAACTGTGATCTAAAATGCACGCATATAATATTTAAAAGTAAAATTATTTTTGGAAAATTATGATACGAACACGTATCGGATAGGGAAGACTCAGAGCGTCTTCGAGCTCTTGAGAATATGAGACGAGGAAGAAGAAGAAGAATTGAGGCGAAGGAGAGAATCGGCGAACCGAGGAGGAAGGGAATTAGGGTTTGTAATTCGTTTATTGATTGATTAACTCTAAAGGGGTTACATCTCCTTATATATGAAAGAAGGAAACTCTAACGCTAACCTAACGGTTCAATAAAAGCGACGAGGGAAAGAACCGTAAAGAAACCTCGAAGGAGCTTATAATTTCGCTCACCTAATAAAATCTACATTACAATAATAATAATAATAATAATAATAATAATAATAATAATAATAATAATAATAATAATAATAATAATAATAATAATAATAATAATAAACTAATAAATATATAATCTAATATCCTACTATATAATCCATAACACTCTCACCCCCTTAGAAAACCACCTTGTCCTCAAGGTGGAGGTTCCCACTCATGCTTCGAGACTGGAGAGAAAATGTTGACCCAAAGATTATGCCCACTTGATGATAGATCTTCATTAAGCCTGCAAATTGGAGTACAACAATGGACATAAGAGAGAAGAGACAATGCAAACTTAGCTACCGGCGGTGAAACCCAATACTCGGACTCCACTATATTCACATGGGCAGAGGACAGGATGATATCAAAGGATAGTGAGATGCCCGCTTGCGTATAATTTGCATCTGCTACTTGGGCTGTTTTGGACGAAGGCACAAGGCTACATGCGATGATGACATTGCTCAATGTTGGATCCTTTGCAACTTCTCACTTACCCGGTGCATCGACGTGCGTATCAACAGTAACAAGATCCGATGGAAAGGCATTAACAATACCTTCAACAGAAACACCATCGGCATCAACTGCAGGAACTATCACTGAATCCCCAATCGTACGCTCCACAGGTTCTATGTCAGTAGATGTAGGATTGTGTAGAGTGGTTGTGGGGACCAAATCAGGTGGAGCAATGGGAATGCCGAGAAGATTCTTTATATTGTTCATCATCCTTATTTTGAAACTTTTTAACTCCAAGGGAATATCACTCAATGCCATTGGAGTACCACGCACCAAATCTTGTATCATATCGAGCAATAGATTTCCACATTGAATGCATATAACTAAGAATCAGAATACGGTAGATCTAAAAGATGACGAAATAAGTGGAGCGTCTTCAAAATTTCATCCACATGATCATAAGTTATACAGACTCCGTCATGAAACTCAACTCTTCCATAAAAGATATTCTTCAATACACCAAGAAGTTTGTTCAAAGCATCGTCCATGGTCACAATAATTTTATCCAAAATCGAGACCATAATTGTGGCAAGACCGATCCAAAAAAACAATGAAAAAACAATGCACTCAAATCTGGTATAATTCGTCCTTTTCTGCCTAGGGTTATTGTTGCATTTTTTTTTTTTTTGGGTAAAACAAGACACTTTGCAGCAATAAAAACCACTCTTCAAGTAGAAAAAAAAATACAGAGTAATAAATATCAACTCACGCAGGCTAGTGTATGCTGCTCATTCCCCAATTTTGCTGCAATTGGTTTGCAATTGTAGGTGTGCGGCCCAAAACACCAAGAAATATATTTTGCAGCTAAAGTTTCTGCCGCTTTTCGTTGTGCACTATGTTCTAATTGGTGGCAAAGATGGTGGAGACCAAAGATATGGCAGCGGCGGCTATACTACCTCTGCAATCTGTTTTTTTTTTCACTCAAAGCACCAAGATTCTTGGAATTGAAATTGACGGCTTCTTCTAAATGCTATGTACAACCGCAAAATCGATCGGACAGCAAATCTCTAGGTTTATGGGTGCGGCGGCACAAGGTTGTGTGATCGGCGGCACTTCTTTTCGTTTTTGGTTTTTGTTTTTTTTTGTGTTCAAATCAACGAGAGCACCAATGATACGAACACGTATCGGATAGGAAGACTCAGAGCGTATTCGAGCTCTTGAGAATATGAGACGAGGAAGAAGAAGAAGAAGAATTGAGGCGAAGAGGGAATCGGCGAATCGAGGAGGAAGGGAATTAGGGTTTGTAATTCGTTTATTGATTGATTAACTCTAAAGGGGGTTACATCTCCTTATATACGGAGTATGAAAGAAGGAAACCCTAACGCTAAACTGACGGTTCAATAAAAGCGACGAGGGAAAGAACCATAAAGAAACCTCGAAGGAGCTTATAATTTCGCTCATCTAATAAAATCTACATTACAACAACAACAACAACAACAACAACAACAATAATAATAATAATAAGAATAATAATAATAATAAAAAACTAATAAATATATAATCTAATATCCTACTATATAATCCATAACAAATTACTAGTAATTATTTTGCTGCCTATGATCACGTAAAAAAGCCAAAGCGAAGGCCAAACACAAAAAAATGAGTACCCCTTTCAAAGTCCACCCCTCATCTTCATTTTTCTTTCCTTTCTTCTTTGATCCCCATCCCCATGATGATGACGACGACGGCAAGCGGGGAATGGCTGCTTCTGGTGGGGCCAGCTGCACGCTAGTCGCCAGCAAAGGGTTCCCTCCGAACGACGCAGGAGGAAACCTTTCGAGCAGAGACGGAGGGACGGGCCCACTAAAACCGTTGTTGCTTAGGTTCAAGCTCTTGAGGTGCGGGAGGAGGCCCAGACCCCACGGTATGGGCCCCGCCAAGAAGTTATTCTCGAGGTGCAGCGTCTCGAGCGCATCCAGTCTCCCGAGCGTTGTGTTTTCCGGCATATAACCGCAGAGCCCTAAGCCAGATAGTCGGAGCTCGACTACCCGGCTTCGGTCCGAGTTGCAGGCCACGCCGGCCCAAGAGCTACAGATTGGGTCGGCGGGCTTCCAACCCAATCCATGAGGAACAACAAAGTCAAGAAGGGCTTTTTTGTCTTTTTCCAGATTCGATGCCACGGCTACTTTCTCTTGGATGAGGAGTAATGAGAAGAACATAGTAAGAAACATAATGTTGTTGGAGTGATTAACTAGCTACTGTAATAATAATTAATCATGCAAATGGTAATATATATAACAAATTAAAGTGCAGGCACCTTCAAAAAAAAATGTATATAGGAGCCAACTAATTAGTGTAAGAGTGATATATATACTCCGTATTAATTAACATTATATAACAAAATATATGGATGAAGCAGGGCATGATAGCATTTCTTGAGTTAAAAGTCTTCTATGGTAGGAGAATCCGTTTGTGCAGTGGTGCTACCTCCGCTCAAGGCGCTATTTATCCTACTTTGGCCTTTTACCATCAAAGTTAATAAAATTAGATCATTAACTAAATAAAAAAAATATTTCACTATAAGAGTAAAAAATTAAAGTATCAAAACATGCACCAAAATATGAGTACCAAGTCTTTTAAGACCAAAATAAGAGTCAGATGTAAGAGTGTTGACAGTATAATGGAAAAGTGATGGAAATGTAATTAGGCAGCGTGATCATTCAATCACCGGCGAACCACCAAACAACGTCACTGATCAGCGGCGGTACTCTGGTTGCCGACTGTGGTAGATTGCACTGATACTGTGGGAGTTGTAATATGACAATGTGAAGAGTGTGACAATGTAAATTCCTATTTTGGTCTTAAAATACTTAATATTATTAATTTGGTATTTTAATACGGAGTAGTTTTTATTACGAAATCACCCTAAATAGAAGTAAAACATAGAGAAACTACCTAAATAGGACTTCCATGTTTTTCATTCCTCAAATAGAAGTTTTCACTGTGGTAATATGACACTGTACTTTTTCGTAACGTAAACATTTTTACTACTATTTTGAGGAAAAATCATAGAACCTCTATTTTGGTATATTTTTATTATTTTACTCATAGTTTAGTTTTTTCCTTTTTTACTCTTATCTGGGTAGTTCTCCTTTAATAAAATTGTACTACTTTCGTCTCTAAGTATTTGTCTAATTTTAACTTTTCACAGTCAAAATTATAAAACTTGACCATTAATTAAATAAAATATACTTCCCACCACACCTAGGTTCTTCTAAGTTACTATCCACATGGAAAAACTTTATTGACTTTTTAGCCCATGTTACATTGATTATTTGATAAATTAAAATAATTTTGTCACAGAGTTCGTCTCCTACTTTCGGAGTTCTCGGCGGCGACAGCTAGGGTTTTTTTCATCTCTTGCTTCTATCTACTCCGTACTTTGTTTCTCCTGGTCTATTGTGTTTTCAAATGGATCCGAACAATATTGATAGTGGTATAGCAGCGATTTCTCTGGACAACGAGGAGGATGATGGACTGATCTTCGGCGATGAAATTGAAGATTCATCAAACCATCAGCCGGCTTACGATTTCTGCCTTGTGGGTCAGTTTCTTACTGATCGTCCGGTCAATTTTGTGGCGATGAAGAACACGATGGCTTCTCTGTGGCGTCCGGAGGAAGGTATGGTGGTGAAGGAAGTGGGACCAGGTTTGTATATCTTCCAATTTGGAGTAGATGGAGCAGGTAATGGAGATGTGTCTGTGGTCTTTCAATAACCAAGTGCTACTCCTGGAACGATTGGGTAGATCCCTCCGAGGTGCCGCTGCATCATCTTTATGTGTGGGTGCAAGTATATGGGTTAAAACGCGGTTTCTTCTCGGAAAGAGTGGCTCAACGACTAGGGAATGAGATTGGTTAGTTTGTTGAGGCACACCCCAAAAATTTTAGTAACCCATGGTCCTCATATCTTAGAATAAGGGTGAAGCTAGATGTGCAGAAGCCTTTGAAGAAAGGGACACGACTAAAGAGAGAAGGGGAGGAATGGTTTCATGTGGATTTTGCATATGAGAGGCTTCCCACCTTTTGCTTTGTGTGCGGTCGTCTAGGTCATGGTGAGCGTTTCTGTCCAGAGACTCTCCGGCAGTGGGGGTGTAAAGTGGAGAGGAAGTTCGGACCGGAGATGAGGGCATCTACGCGACGGGCTTCTAACAATATTGGGGCACGTTGGTTACGAGAGGAACTGCCACCGCGAGGAGATGAAGTCGAGAAACAAGAGAAGATTGGAAAGGGAGATAGCAGAAGGTCTACACCTGCCTGCACAGGGTTGTCGTCCATGTTGTGTAAGCAAGATGCAGCACCTCCTAATACGGAGCTAGCAGTTTGGCAGAGGAACAAAGAAGCAACTCCAAGGGTGGAGTTTTCAGATTTCCAAAATCAATCTGACCATAACTCGATGGAAAAACAATCTGATGTTGAGATGTTGTTGATTCCAACAGACCCTAAAAAACGCAAGAAGAGTGTGGCTGAAAAGAATGGGGAAGGTTTTGGCAGGTTAATGAATGGGAGCAAAAAAACTTAGTGGAGGCGGGACCTGGATGCCAGGCCCGCCTAGCGCCATGAGTTGATCAGTTAGAACTGTCGTGGGCTTGGCAAACCACGAGCAGTGCACACCCTGCAAACTATTGTTAGGGAGAATAAGCCTCTTTTAATTTTTCTTGTTGAAACACTTTGTGATTCTGCTCGTATTGATGAAATAAAACTTTTGTTGGGTTATGATGGTTCTTTTTCTTTTAATGCTTCGGGACATATTGGAGGATTGGCTTTACTTTGGAAATCCCCACTTAATGTTACTCTTTTATCTCTCTCACGTTTTCATATTGATGTAGAGGTGGAGGATCCAGCTCTTGGTAGGTGGAGACATACGGGGTTTTATGGACATCCTGACATATCTAGAAGAAGTGAATCTTGGAATCTTCTTCGTGACCTTTCACATGCCAGCACTCTCCCTTGGATTTGTGGCGGGGATTTCAACGCTATCATGGAGCAGCATGAGAAACGAGGTGGGCCTCCCAAACCACGATATCTTATTTAAGCTTTTTGAGAAGCTGTTGAAGATGCCGGCTTGATGGACTTTCCTTTGGGAGGGTACTCATTTACTTTTAATAATGGTCGAACTGGATATGCTCATGTAGAAGAGAAGATTGATAGATTCCTAGTGACTGCAGATTGGCGATAGAAGTTTCCACTTGCACATGCTTGTACATTAGATATCTCATCTTCAGATCATCTTCCCATTTGCATGAAGGTTAAAGCGTGGGTTCCAAGGCCTTATGCCCATCGGTTTTGGTTCGAGAATACTTGGAGATCAGATCCTACTCTTCGTCCCCTTTTGCATGATTGTTGGGAGGTTAACCATGCAGCATCATTAAAAGAGAAATTAAACTTTTGTTCAGCAAGATTACATGCCTGGGGTATGGAGTGGAAAGATCAGTTTGCTTCAGAGATCAATATCATGAGGACTATCCAGAGGCGTACTCGAGGGCGTCGAAGACCACCATAGTCGTATGCAGTTCCAGCGAGCTAAAAAGAGGTTGTTTGATCTTTATGCTCTTAAAGAGGCTTTTTGGCGTCAGCGAGCTAAACAATTTTGGCTCACTCAAGGAGATCGCAACACAAAATTCTTTCATGCTCAAGCCTCTGAATGACAGCGCCTCAACAGGATCGACAGGTTGAAGGATTCCAATGGTCAGTTGCGTACATGGAGCAATGGTCTTGAGGATACCATTAAGGAATATTTTGAGGAGCTCTATCATTCCCAAGGAAATGCAGATCAGATTATTCAGTCATTAATTCCCTCCCTCATCTCAAGGGAGGATAATGCTATGTTACGACAGCCTTATTCCTATGAAGAGGTTCGACAAGCGGTATTTTCTATGTATCCCGACAAATCCCCGGGGGTGGATGGTTTTAACCCAAGCTTCTTCCAACATTTTTGGGATATTTTAGGGACTGATGTTATAGCATATTGCATTTCCCAATTAAATTCTTGAGTCATCCCAAGAGAGATGGGGGCTACAGATGTGGTCCTTATTCCCAAAAAATCAAATCCAGAGGTTATGGGGGATCTTCGCCCTATTGCTTTATGTAGGGTTCTCTATAAAATTATGAGTAAGATGATCGCTCTTTGGCTCAAAACTCTCTTACCTAAGATTATTTCCTTGAATCAAAGCGGTTTTGTAGCAGGGAGAGATATCCATGACTGTTGTGCTATTGCATATGAATCTTTATATCTCCTCAGAAATAGACGTAAAGGAAGAGTGGGTCTCGCAGCTTTAAAGATTGATATTAGTAAAGCCTATGATCGTATGGAGTGGACTTACCTTGAAGGTATTTTGCGAGCAATGGGATTTGACAGGCATATGGTTTCCCTTTTGATGAGTTGTGTCACAACAGTTACTTATACAATTCAATATCGGGACAAGAGTATTGGGCCTATTATTCCTGGTCGGGGCATTCGACAGGGAGATCCTATATCTCCTTATCTTTTTATTATTGGAGCAGAAGGTTTGTCACGATTGATTCAATACGAGGTGAACAGGGGTACTATTACAGGATGTAGAGTGGCCCGTGATGCCCCCTCTATTAGCCATCTTTTCTTTGCTGATGATAGCCTTCTCTTTTTTAATGCCACTATGAGTGAGGCTTAGAAGATTCAACAGCTCTTACAAGTATATGCGATTGCTTCAGGTCAGGTAATTAACTTCACTAAATCTATCATTTGATTTAGTCCTAATACCGAAAGAGCTGTTCGGGGAGCTATATGTTCTACACTGGGTGTTCAAGAGAGTAATGATTTGGGTCGGTACTTGGGTTTACCCTCAGCCATTGGTCGTAATAAAAGAGAAGTTTTGAACTACATTAAAGATAGAGTGTGGAAGCGAATTTCTACTTGGAAGAACAAATTTTTGTCTTAGGCTGGGAAAGAGATACCATTGAAGTCTGTGCTCCAAGCGATTCCCACCTATGCTATGTCACTTTTCCTGCTGCCTAAGTCTCTCTGTACGGACCTGGAACAGATGATGGCGAGATTCTGGTGGAGTAAAGATAAGCAAATTTCTAAGAGTATTCACTGGATGAGTTGGGAAAGGTTAAGTCGTCATCGATTTTCAGGTGGGCTCAATTTTAAAAAGGTGCACGAGTTTAATATGGCTATGCTGGGGAAGATGGCATGGAAGTTTTTAACTCAACCTAACCTTTTGGTTTCTAAAGTTTTCAAAGCTAAATATTTTCGTGATTGTAGTTTCCTTGAGGCTTAGATTGGATCCAACTCAAGCTTTGTTTGGAAGAGTATATTTGCAAGTAAGGATTTGTTGCGTACGGGCATACGTTGGAAGGTTGGGCCGGACACTAATATTAACATTTGGGAGGATCCATGGCTGATGGACAAGGAAAACCCTTTCATTACTACAGAGAATCCAGGGAGTACTGTGCTAACGCGAGTCAGTGATCTCCGTTCAGGTAATGGTTGGGATTGGCCGACTATTGATGCCATATTTAATGCTAGAGATCGTCAGTGCATTCAAGCTATCCCGTTGGTAGGATCATCAAGCAATGATATGTTGATTTGGGCCCATGATAAATCTGGTATTTACACAGTGAAGAGTGTCTACAAAGCATTAACTTGGGATGCTACGGTGGTAGGTTATGGGATGGACCGAGCGCTTTGGAAAAAATTATGGGCGGTTCGAGTTCTCCCTAAGGTACGCAATCTTATTTGGAGGGCAGGTAATAACATTCTTCCATGTCTTAATAATTTGGTGACAAGAAGGGTGACTGTTCAAGATGTTTGTCCGCTTTGCCACACTTCTAAGGACACAGTTTTGCATATTTTTGTACATTGCCCATTCGCACGCCAAGTTTGGGGTGCTTCTTTCTTGGGTTGGTATGCTCCAGTTGTGGGATCTTTCCATGACTGGCTTTTAGCTGTCTTGAATTTATTTAATGAGTATGATAAGGGCTTAGCGCTCCATCTTCTTTGGATGATCTGGTCGGCGCGTAATGCAAAGGTATGGAAGGGAGTGAGACGTTCTCCCTTGTAGGTCTGGACGCGGACGTATAGGGACTATGAAGACTGGTGGAGGATGGCTCCCCCAAAGAAGAATTCTACGTCGACTAATCTTAGAGTTGAAATTGGTGCAACAAATGGATGGGAAAGGCCACTAGTGAATTATTTAAAGGTGAATGTGGATGCTTCATCAGGACTTGTTGATAGGTATGTGGGCCTGGGATTTATTGCGCGAGATTATGAAGGCCGATTCGTAGCTACTAAGAGTATTAAATGTAGAGGGAGTTTTGGTCCACGTGAAGCAGAAGCTATAACAGTTAAGGAAGCACTTAGTTGGATTAAAAGTAAAGGCTGGAAACAAGTCCTTGTGGAAATAGACTGTAAAGAGGTGGTCGATTCACTTAATAGTGCTATCAGAGACTGGTCTTACTTTAATTCTATCATTGAAGATTGTAAGCGTCTCCAAATTCTCTGTGCAGGAGACCTTAGATTTCGTTTTACTCCTCGTTCCGGTAACGAGGCAGCGCATTTGTTAGCGCGTAGTAGTTGCTATGATGATGTTGTAGGGGAGTGGCTTGACACTTCCCCAAACTTTATTCCCTTGGTTTCCTAATTTAATTGCTTGGTTTCAAAAAATAATAATTTTGTCACTCCTTAATTTGTAGATCGTTTAAAGTATTTTTTAAATATGTGATTTTTTTACATTTACACCAACATCCATAAAAATTGAATTGAAAATAACTTATATCAAACATCATACTTCGAAATGAGAAGAACCTAGCTAGCAGATATTAATACACGAATATAATCATCAATTATAATTTGTAAGAAGAGCCTAAAAATAAAAGTTAAGGGCATTGTTGCTCAATGGCAACGGAACCAGACCAATTAAAGTATACAATGAGATATCTATCCTTAATTAAAGGGCAGACACCTTCAAAAAAATGGATGCCGGAGCCAGCAAATTAAATTATGAGCAATTAATTAAAGATTGGGCTCAAGTCATTGGTCAGGAGTATTTCTTAATTTTTCATAAAAGTCAAATACCATTTTCCATTAAAAAGTCAAAAGTAGCGGACAATTTGTATTCTTTGCGGGATAAAAAAATCAAAATAGTGACTCCTATCTGCTTTAAGCTGGTGCGGGTAAAACGTAACACCATACGTAGCACTCCATTGGGTAAAACCTAACACCATACGGAATACTCTTTGTTTTTAAAAGATTGTTACAGTTTGACTAATTTAGTCAAATTGCTGCATACTTCAATCGCAAATCATAAAAAACGTCTTATACTCCGTGTTAAGTTATAATGTAAATTTAGTAAAATTAGGTTTATTTTAAAACATAGTTTTAAAATATTAATTTTTTATTATATTTAATTATTTTAAACTATATTTAATTCATGGTCAAAGAGTGCCACATTCTGGGAAGAAACTTTTGAATCGGTTATTTGGTAATAACTGATTCAAAAGGGAGGCTTTTGAATCAGTTATTAACAAATAACCATTAATAACCGATTCAAAAGTCTCTTCCCAGAATTGGCGCTATTTCTGGGAAGAGGCTTTTGCATCGGTTTTACAACCGATGCAAAAAGTAACATGAGCATTTGCATCGCTGGCTTTTGCATCGGTTCAAAACCGATTTAAAAGGGTCAAAATAACCGATTTAAAAAGTATTTTTTGTAGTAGTGAATTATAATCATTTTTT